GTTCAGTCCCCTGTTGGTGACCAAGGGAAAACCACTTAACCTCTCAGTGCCTCTGGGAACTTTGACCAGACTTTCTGGGTTTCAGTTTCTTCACCTCTATAACGATATACTTCAACAAGACCTCTGCCATCTCTTCTATCTTTAAGTCTATGAAAACTTTTCTTCTGGCTCAGCATACCTCACCAGGAGAGAAGAAAAGATAATAGCTTTGTGGCCTTTTGCAGCCATCAAACTTCCAAGACTTCCTAGTTGTTGACTAGAAGCCTGCCACCTTTGGTACAAAGGGTCTGTAAAGTATCTAAGGGAAGAAGATCCAGACATATGCTCACCTGACAAGAAGAGACATACCCAGAAACAAAGCTGAAAATGCCAAAACGGCTCTGAGGACCCAGACAAGTGAGTTTTTATAGGACTTAAGAGATGAGAGGAGAAACAATTCCATGGAACTCTCTTGACCTGGGTTCTCATGGCCAGGAGAACACGATATGGCCATATCACAATGTATTAGAAAGGTCATAGTATCAGAGGTCTAAATTTGGAAGGTCCCTTAGAAGAAATAGGCCAATTCCCTCGTTTTACAGATAAGAAGACTGAGGTATAGGAAGGCTAAAGATGTTGCCCAACATAACAGGTAGTGAGGTTGTAGAAACAGGATTTGAACCCAGATCCTCTGACTCCAAATCTGGTCTCCCACTTTCCACTACCTCCTGATCTTTAGAAGGTCACTGAGACTTACTCTGAATGGTATCTAATCTTTTTCTTGGATCTCCTATGCTCATCACTCTCCTCTTCCCAAAATTTTTGTCAAACAGTTTCAGAAAAAGGCCCACTCCCTTCATATAATACTCACTTACAAAGGCAGGTTAGTCAGACACAGATATGAAAGACTTTTTCCCCTTTTATCAATATCCTCCATAATTCTGGGAACTGTTGCTGCTGGCTCACTAAAACCCTACTGACATTCAGAACCTCTTGAGCCCTGGACCCAAAACCAGCAAGAAAAAAAAAAAGTATGCCAGTCCACCCCCCTCCCTCTCTAGCGATGCTTCTAAAGACACCTGAACAGCCAGGGAGAGACAGAGACAAAGAGAGACAGACAGATACAGAGACAGAGAGAGAGAGACAGAGACAGAGAGAGAGAGAGAGAGAGAGAGAGAGAGAGAGAGAGAGAGAGAGAGAGAGAGAGATTACAAAGGAGAGGGAAAGGAGGAGAGAAACAGAGACACACAGAGAGACAGAGATAGAGACAGAGTGAGAGGAAGAGAGAGAAACAGAGAAAGAGAGAGAGAGATGAGAACATAGAAGGGGGAGAGAGAGGAAGGGAGGGAGAGGAAGAGACAGAAAGAAGTAAAGGGAGTCACTGGGAATATAGTTCAGATGAGGTAAGGAAATTAGCACAATGAAGAAAAGGTGAGGCTGGGGTAGGGATAACCTGGGTAGGACCTAGTAGGAAACAAAGGAAAGGACTCCTTTATAATGAGGTCATCAAGTTTTAGGCCCCTAGCCTCAGAGCTAGGGAATTCTTATTTTGACTTATTCAATGGGAGATTAATAGAGTCCTCCCACTTCCTTTCAGAGCTAGCTCTGAGACACCAGCATGTGTGTGTGTGTGTGTGTGTGTGGGCATGCTCTTGGATCACTCTAGGTGCAGGCTTCAGCCCAGGGAACTCCGAGTCAAGGGTGAGGCAGGGCTCAGAGGAGAAGCCAGAGGAACTAGAAAAGAAGGTCCCTGCCCTAGGGGACCTCTCACTCTAAAAAGTAAAAGAGACAGGGCACACCTATATCAATAAGACCTGAAAAGACAGTGGATCAAACTAGGGAACAAGCAGCCCAAAGGGCAGACCTAAGGGAGGAGTTGGGTGAGGGAGGGAAATAATTAACCCCCCTCAAAAGAAAATGTTTTTAAAATTACCACTGAAGTACAGGAATTTGGAGGCAGAAGAGCTAGGTTTGAATTTGGGCTCTGTGATTAACTACTGTGACTTTGGACAAGTGGTCCTTTCCATCTTCTTCTGTATCAGTAAAATAGGAACAATAATACTTAGCTACTTCTACAGGGGAAGAAAAGGGAACAAGCTTGATTTGTTAAGCACCTACTATATACTGGCCATTACAAATATTATCTCATTTGATCCTCACAACCCTGGGAGATAGGTGCTATTATCATCCCCATTTTATACTCAAGGAAACTGAGGCAGACAGTGGTTTAGTGATTTACCCAGGGTTCCACAAAGCTAGTAAATGTCCAAGGCTGTATTTGAATTCCAGTATTATGAGATCAAATGAGTTAACGTACAGCAGTGTACAGCAGTGTTTTGTTTTGTTTTGTTTTTTACAAAATGTGAGCTGCTGTTGTTTTTATAAAATGGAAGAATTATGCTAGATAGTCCAAGATCCCTCCAAGTTCCTATCATCTTCTTGTCTACTTGCCACAAATAGAACCTGATGCTTCTGCACCCACACAACACACATCTCCTTCCTTGGAAAAGGTTAGCAAAAGACAAAGATGTTACTACTCTTTCTCTTGAGGCCTGGGACAGTGCTTTGTATGTACTGGGTGGGAACCAATATAAGACATCCTGACTGGACATTTCACTGGTTGTGCCCATGCCTGGCTGTTCTCCTTCCTCATCCCCATCTCTGTCTCCTCACCTTCTTCAAGTCTCAGCTAAAAATTCTACCTTCTACAAGAAGCCTTTCCCAATCTCCCTTAATTCTAGTGCCTTCCCTCTATTGATTATTCCAATTTACCTTCTTTGTACATATCTTATTTGTAATACAGTTGTTATCATGTTATCTCCTCCTTTAGACTCTTTGAGAACAAGAACTGTCTTTTGCTTTTCTTTGTATTTCTAGTGCTTACTAAGGTGCCTTGCACATAGTAGGTGTTTAACAACTGCCCGTTGACTGACTGGGTGGTCAGTCAGTGCCAAAGAAGACAGTACCTGGGGGACTTTCTGGAGCAGGGCCCCAGGTGCCTGCTTAGCCCCCACCCTCTCCATGGGTCAGTTGTCCCCTCTTCAGCTTGTCCTATTTCTACAAAACTTTTCAGTTAATAACTACAAACTGCCCCATGCCATGAGGAATTTAATTAAAGGGAAGGGAGTACATGGAAGAAGCATTATTTAAGGGGGTGGGGTGGAGAGGAGAGAGGAACTTGGCTTGCTATGTTCCAAATTAGACCCTTGTCCACCAGGCTTGGTGATGTCACTAAGAGCCCATGTGAGATGCTGCCAAGGTAGGTATCTTCCACAGCAGCCTGGTACAATTGATTTTTTTTTTCAATTGAAATTCAGGACTTGAAATTTCATTAGGGATATATATAATCTTGATTTTAGCCCAGAGTTTTAGCCTGTCCAGATAGTTTTGAGTCTTGCTGCTAATCATATTTGCTGTCTCTCCCACTTTTGTTTCATCTACAGATTTGATAAGAATCATTTCCTTGTCTCAGCAAGTCACTAATTAAAAAAAAAAGTGGTCAAAAATATAGTCCTGTGGCTTGGTACTAGAGAGCACCTCTCAGATTCAAACAATCAACCAACAAGTATTTGTTAACCTTAAATTTAGGTTAAAATTCCAACAATAACTAGGTGCTTAGCGAGATACAGTTTAAATAAGGCATAGTTTCCAATCTCCTAGGATTTACAGTCTAATAGGGAGCAAATATTTATCATGTATTTCAATAATATTTTTATGAGAGGTACAAAGTACAGAAGCATTCCCAAAGTCTTAATGTACTTAAAACTACACCAAAACATCTACACTAGTAAAACCTGAGGGGAGGAAATGTTTCATTACTGAGGACAGATATTAAGGAAGACTTCCTGGAAGTGGTGGGGAGATTGAATGAATGATATAATTGAAAGAAATTTAAAAATTATAGGAGGAACATACTAAGGGGAAAAAGGTAAGTTTTGTTCATACATAGCATAGATTTAGAACTGGAAAGGACCTTAGTGGTCAAGTCCATCGCTTTTAAAGTCTCCTCTCCAGCTCTAATCTACGATCCTATCACTCCTTATTTTTAGGAAACTAAGCCTCACCTTTAGTAAGTGTCTGAGGCAGGATCTGAACTCAGGTCTTCTTGAGTAAAAGTAAAACACTGACACCAGAGGTGTCAGATGCATGGCAGCAACACTCTTGAATGGACCCCAAACCAGATTAAAATGAAACCGGAAAATACTTAACAAAATAAAAATACAACTAAACATAGATAATGTTGATTTGTGGTTTTCTAAGTCAATATGCAGCAGGCAGGCAGGGATCCATCTGTGTCCTACCCCATGCATCCTCTATGTTGAGCTTGAGGTACCAATAGGACAGTTAGATGGTTATGTTCTGTAGGCAGAGAAGTGGAGAGTCCAAAGGTCAGGAGAAAGGTCAAGGCCTGAGGTACAGATGGGCAAGAGTCCTTTGCATAGAGGTCATCCCTGAAGAGTAGAAATGAAGGATAATGTGAATGGAGTGATTATAAAGAACACAAAGTGGAGAACCCAAGTTGAACTCATTTGTAGGAGGACCACAAGGAACAAGTAAAAAAAAATTGAAAGAAAATAACACTTCTGAGAGAGGGGATGACTACTAGGTCAGGAAACTAAATAAAAGTTCAGGACTCAAAGAAGGGGTACATTTGAATTGAATAATAGCTAGGGGAAATAAAATATATAAAATAGAAGTATTTATCTCTAGGCCAAACCATTCATTAAGCATTTTAATTCTAGCAGCCTACACAGTTTTCTCTTTGCATCCTCATCCCTAGTGTTTGGCTGAAAGCACTTTACAAATATTAACTCACTTGACCCTTACAACATCCCTGGAAGGTAGGTGCTATTGTTTCCATTTTGCAGATGGGAAAACGGGAGGCAGGCAGTGGTCAAGTGACTAAATAGATACTTGCTAATATATCCTATGGGTTCAAAAGAATTTGCCATTGACCCCAGTATTATTCAAGTCCCCTTTCACCACCTAATCCACAAAGGTCTAAGAGTTTCTTTGCTTAAAATCAAAGGACACTTTGTCTCAGTCATACTAGTAACTTTTTTTCCAAAAACAAATTGAGATTATAATCGCTAATGATAAACATTTAAAAACATTTTTGTTTTAAATCCAATATTCTTGGCCCTTTAAGAGGAAATATTCTCCACAAATTTATATATTCCCTTAAAAAGACACGTGATGATAATTCCTTCTCTGAATAATTCTCTCCACTTTTCTTTCCTACCTCCGTAAGGGAGCAAAGAAAAAGTCTCCTCTCCTTTTTAGAGGCTTATCAGATAAAGCCACTCTCCTGAAAATCTCAGGCTTCAGCAATTTGAACCGGGTATAGTCAGTTTTCCAGCCAGATTTAATAAAACCCTCCTACAGGTTTCTCCTGAGAGGTGGATGGCCTTTTCACC